TTAACTTATGTTTGGTTTCTAGCTTCTTCTACCTTAACTGGTGTCTACCATACAAGGTGCTGTGTTAGGAGCTGGGGATTCCGATGTAAATACAACCTACATGAGTCCTGCCCCAACAGGAGGTACACGCAGGGGATCAGAGCATTGCAATACAGAGTGACACATGCTCTCATGGGCAAGGAAGCACAGAAGACTGTGCGAGCAGGGAGGACACCTGATCCAAATTTAGGATAGACTTTGACACTGATAAAGGACTTTCCCCTTTATATACTGCTTGAAAGGAGGAACAGTTGGTATGGAGGTATTTCAGAGAGATCAGATCTTCTTGTCCCCGGGACCACAACAACAGCTTGGAATTCTAAAGGTCCTAGAATGGCCTGACGACTGGACAATGTGGTCTTTCTCTTGAGCTGCTCCTCTAGGAAGCACAAGGCTCTGGTCCTCCCTAATCTCTGCCATGGCTTTAGTGTAGATGCAGTAACATCCCATTGACTGGGTGTCTCCAGGAGGCGCCCATCAATGAGCACTTAGTTTGATCCTGGGCATGGCAGGAACAGGAATGCTCCCCTCAAATCCCCTGTGCTCCCCTGCATTTCCAAGCCCTGATGTATTTAGGTGGGACCGTGTGACTAGTTCTGACCAATGGGCTATGACCAGCAGTCGTATGTATCGTTTTTAAGACAAAGCATTTAATTGCTAATGCAAGACCCCCCCGCCCCCCTGCCGTGCCCTCTTCTCTGCCAGGGTTACCAAGAAAACCTCATCGTCCAGGCAGTACAGGTACAAAACTGTGAAGCCTCCACCAGCCTCAGTCTTGAGTGAAGAAGAATCCTCTACCAAAAAGTAGCATGAGAGAAAATAAACTTTTGCTGTGCTAAGCCACCAAGATTTGGGGCTGATTGACGCATATACCGGGACAAGGGTGTGCTCAACACCTGGTGCAAATAGCTCCAGAAAACGGTGGTTCAGTAAGAGGAAATTAATTAATTCCTGCCATTAGCAGCAGTGCCAATGAGAATAACAAGAACAATTGACCTTTGTACAGTGGTTCATGATTTTCCAGGCACTTTCATGAGCATGATTCAGTTTAATTCCTGAAATAACAATGACACTTTGGTATACTCAGACCCAATTTAAGGTGAGGCTAAGGGGTTTCACACCTCCCTTCCCCAAGCCACGACAATGGCTTCAGCCTTCATAACTGTCATCCTAGCACAAGTCACATGATACCATGAAAAGGACCCTCAGAGGCAGGAAAAGGGGTCTCGAAGCCACAGATTCCCTCCCCAGAGTCAGCTTCAGTAAGTTATATAAACCAGGCAGAATTACACAGCCCCTCCCATTCCTCAGTGGAGTCTTGCCTGGTGGTGAGATAGGATTTTCACGCAAAATATGAAGTGTTTGTCACTCAGCCCTGTGCTGTAATTATCAGAAAACATGTTCACCTGCTATTTAGCTTACTCAGAGCAACCTTGCTACCTTTGAATCATAGCTTTCACTAAAGCCACATGGTGTCAACTCAAGGTAATTTTTGTAAGTCCTTTGTTTTTGTGGTGGCAAATAGGATTCATGTTTATTATAGAAAATTTGTAAAATACAGAAAAGCACAAAGACAAAAATAGAAATCATGCATAAACCAACAACCAGCGATATCTACTATTATATCAGGCTTGCCATATATTTTTCTAGTCTTCTCTGGCAAAATTGATGCCATACAGTAACTACTATTTGGTACACTGATTTTACAATTATTAGATTGTGAACATTTACCCACGTTTTAAAGTATTTTCTCATGATGTCATTTTAATGGCTGCATAATGTACTATCATACTTTATCACCCCCACAGTGATTGGACATTTATGTTGTTTTAAATCTTCTCTGCAAAAGGTTGTGATGAACATCTTAGTGCATTCACATTTATTTGTCTCTCTTTCCTAACAAAATGGAAATGCCGGTTCAGGGGATTTGGATTCTTAAATTCTTAAAATTCTTAAAGAATTTTTTTTGTCAGAGTTCCTTTTAGAAAGAGTATGCCCCAGAAGTGTAGGTGGGTCCTCATTTCCTATGCCTCAGTTTAACTGGACAGTGTATCAGTTAGGGTCCAGTTAGGAAAAAGGAAAACACACTAGGTATTTCAACAGAAAGAATTTAACATAAGGGATTGGTTTGACAGGCATTGGAAGACTGAAAAGCAAAAGAACACTGAGATAAGTCAGAGAGTAACTGCAGGAAGCATGGCTCGCCCCTAGGGCTGTGGGGACAAAGGGGCCGAGTTGGGATTGCTGGAACCCCACTTGTGGAGCAGGGAGTCTCCATGGAGCTGCAACACAGATCTTTGAGGTGGGGGCGCTGTGCCGTACTTCATAGGAAGAAGATTCAGACCCCTGAAAAGGACATGTGCCTGGCTGGTGTTGGTATCTCTGAAGGGCATGATGAAGCTATGTCTGGTTGTGCCCAAAAAAAAAAAAAAAAAAAAAGGTCTGAGTGGCTCAGTCAGTTAAGCAACGGACTCAGTTTCAGCTCAAGTCATGATCTCATGGGTTGTGGCATTGAGCTCCTGGTCAGGCTCCTTGCGCAGTGGGGAGTCTCTTTCTTCCTCTCCCTCTGCCCCCCGCCCCCCGCTCACGCGCTTGCACGCTCTCTCTCTCTCAAAATAAATAAATCTTTTTTAAAAATGCTGCAGATTGGAACCAGCTGCTGCAGTCTGAGTGAAAAACCATTACTGAGAAGACCGTGAGTGTATCAGCAAGCAAACCAAAAGGATCAAGACCTTCCCCTCTCTCCAGCCTTGTACCATCCCTCTAGTGCCCCCTACTGATAGAGCCTAGCATGGAGCCAGCTGAGGAGGAGAAATGGTGTCTGCACAGTCCCGGCCCCAACTTCATAGAGCCCATCATAGAAAGGTAGATTTGGGGCTGAGAGACAATAGCCTGATAATCAGACAGCCATCATCACATTTTAAATTTTTGTTGGTAATCTCTTCAATACCAGTGATTCGAAGCAGATTAAGTAAGACATTGGTTAACATCATCTTTTGATGATAAAGTAGTTTTATAAAACATAAAGATCTGATTTCAGATCCAACTGGCTCTTCTCTAAAAACAAACACCAAATTACTACCAACTGACAGTTATTTGAAGTGTTTCCTCTGTGCCAAGCACTCTGCTCAGCAGGCTGTGTGGGTTATCCTCAGTTAGCCTTCCTTTTACAGAGGGGGAAACCTGAGGCTTGGGGAAGGAAGCACGGTGGTCAAGGTCACAGCTCAAAATAATGGCCACAGGATTTGGACCAGCAGCCTGCCATCAGAGCCTGAGCTCTCAGCCGTGTCTCTGTGCTGGTTCCCCATCTCCTTTGCCATTTAGGTGACATACCTGTTCTTCCTCTGGCCATGCCATGGGGATGAACATGACAACCCCAGGCTCTTACAAGAGTCTTGCTTCTCCATGCTGGGGAGCCACATGGTAGTTAAGTCTGTGTTCTCACACAGAGCGCTCAGCACGTCAGTAACTAGACTCCTCTAACAGGGAGATCCAAAATGGGCTCCTGGCCCCAGATTTTTGTCCTTAACAAACAATCACAGAATACTGGAATGACGTTAAAGGTCCTTACCAGATGTCCGAGTCCCTCTATAACATCTCAATGAACAACTGTTTGGATCCCATTTGAACACTTCTCATAACCTGTACTTTCTCACTGCACTAAGCAGTCTCCCTATATTTTTAGACAGCTCTAGTTAATAAAAAGTTCATATTTGCAGAGAGTTAAAATCTACTACTCTATAAGTTCCACCCAGGATTTCTGATCTTGCTCTTTTGGACAACATAACTTTGCAAATGCTTGAAGGCAACTGTCACATCACTCTTCTCTAGTGTTGTGGTGAGGAGCTCATGCACCTTTGGGGATAGCAAAAGTCTCAAATAACATAGCAAATGGGTGAGCAGAACTCTGATTTTTATGGGAGAAGACATGCACAGAGGAAGGCTTCTCGGTAGTTGAGAGAACAGGTTTTAAAAGCAGACAGATCTGAGTTTAAGTCCTAGCTTGATAATTTCCTACCTATAACCATATATTAGCTCTGCAGCCTTGCAGAAGGTGTTCACCTCAGTGGGGATGCTAGTACCTACCAGACAGTGGCATTATGAGGGTTCAATCAGCTAAGGCTTGTAGGTGCTTGCCTTGACCCCATAGTAAATTCTCAAGAAATGAGATCGATAAAGTATATTGGTGAGAGGCACTAGTTTTATTTTGCACATAAGTTGTGGAGATGTCTTTTTATGGCAGTAATTCTTAACTGAAGATCATCCCATTCCATCCCAAAAGATCAATTTTGGAGTTACATAATAGACTATTCTCCAGGCTACCTTAGTCCACTGAGAAAACTGAGATACGTAACATTTGGAGTCTGAAGACCTGAGTTTAAGACGTGGTTCTGCCTCTTACTCTGTGATCTTGGGTAAATTGTCTGAGTCTTGGTTTCCTCACTTACAAAATGCACTGGTACAGCTAAAATGTCCATCATGAACTCCTGTGGAGCAATCAGAGGTAACGGATTGGAACATAGACTAGTGTGGAGGGATTTGATCCATTTTTTGAGTGAAAAAGTGATCAGCAGAATGAGAAATTTAACAATGCCATTTATGTAAAATCAAAACAACTACACACAACATATAACACCCATGGAAACTATAGAAATCCAATGTATTATAATGATTACCTAAAAGAGGAAGAGAATGCAAGCAAGTTGGAAGGTTAAAAAGGAATCAAAAATAAAGACAAAGGGGCCTTAACAAATAAATGAATAAATGAATGAATGAATGAATGAATAATAAATGGATAGATAGATGCTATAATGGGAGTAATGATGCTTCCCTACCTTCCTCGCGAGGTTATTCTGAGGATCTGGTAAGATTATGCACAGGAATCAAAGTTAATTTACTTTTTCCATTATGATTTCCACATTGAACAAATGAGCTAACAGAGATAAAAATTCTCCATTGCTCTTCAGCACGAAGCTGTCAGCAGGGCAGAGCCCAAGAAACCTTGCCCTGGATGAGAATCTACTAGTAAGATGACATCAGAACTCTTCATATAGGAGGGCAGGCTCTCCCTCACTTCTGGAGACATCATTTGATGGCACAGATACAAGCATCGGATGCCTCTTCCCATGGATCCTTTGCAAATGGTCCACTCGGGCCCTCGGAAGAAGAGGCCCAGGCAAACGGGTGCCTCAATGGTCTCTCCTCCTCATGACATCAAATTTCAGGATTTGGTCCTCTATATTTTAGAGAAGAAAATGGGAACCACCCGCAGAGCCTTCCTCATGGAGCTGGCACGAAGGAAAGGATTCAGGGTCGAAAATGAGCTCAGGTAGGACACCACTGATTTCACTTTGTGAATAAGCAGGGCTTTTTTGAACAGCTTCTTTGGAACCCAAGGAATCTATGTTTTCTTCCACATACAGAAGAGGTGATGCTCCCACTGGGGAAATGGGTTGGAAATCAAAGAACACATTCGAGCCAACTAATTAAGGGAAATAAGATGAGTGGGGACTGATATAATTATACTAAAACTAGTTGGCACCAAAATATTAGGTTTTTGGGGGGGTTTTGGTTGGTTTGTTGGTTGTTTTTCTTGTTTGTTTTGTTTTGGGGGTTTCTTTGTTTGTTTGTTGTTGTTGCCTTTTACCATTATGAGATGAGCTATCCAGGGATGATAACAGAAACTTAATTGGAAAATGTAATGCCGAAACCACTCAATTTTTCCTGACTAAATTGAACAAAACCCCACTGAGTTCAATCAAAAATTTTCAGCTACTCTGAGGCAGAAAGAATGGTTTGGTTTCTTGGCAATTAAACTAAATCCCTGGCTGTGCTGGGGTGACTAGTGTCCGTGACGGGCTAGGATGAGAGATTGTGGCTGGCTCTCCACAGGCACCCAAATGTGGCCTTGATCATGCTTTTCTGACAAACTGTCCCAATGGGGTTCACAGAGCGAGGAGTGCTGGTTAAAGATTCAGGGACAGCTCTGTCCACGGCCGGTAGACTTGGTGCTGAGAATGATGAGGTCAAAGCCCAGACAAAAAGGCAACTGAAGCCACTCTTGGGCCACCTAGACTAGTTCACTCACAACCCCACTTACCCCAGCAATTAGCCTGTTGTTTCTCTAACTACTACATTAGCTCTTCACAGAACAGCCAGGGGGCTTGCAACGGATAAAGGATGATCAGTGCAACTGGCTGGTTTTGATTGTCCAAAGAATAGACTGACCAACACTTTGTCAGGAAAAACTGAGAATTTTCTGTGAAAATTAATTTTTGTATTTTAAAAACAGTCTTTGATATTTCAAAATAAAATTGACAGGCATTTCCTGCTGAAGAAATGCCACCTTCAAATTGCTAGAGAAACACGTGTCAAAAGTCAATAATAAGATATGATGATTTTCAAATTATTCATAATTCCTACAAAGAGTCACAGTCACAGAAACCTTTTATTTTATTTATTTATTTTTTTACTAAAATGCCCTATTCAGAAATTCCCAAGTCTCCTGGGGTCTCTCCCCTCATCTGATTTTTCTTGGTGTACTCTCCTTTCCCCCTCTCTGCCTCTTGTTTTTGTTTTAACCCCCATCTTGTTTGGGATGTTAAGCCCCAAATCTCAACATCCCTTCCATGGAATCATAGATTTCATCTAACTGTTAAGTCTACCTTAATCTTACTGACTTACATAAAATGTTGGAATTAGGGGAAGAAAAGATGACATAGGTAAAGAGGCCCAAACCCAGAAATTAAAAAAAAAAAAAAAAGGAAATTTAAAAAGAAGAAGTGAAAAGCCTCAGCAAATATGGAACTGCTTTTTGTGGTAAAGAAATTTGGCAAGGGCCAGGCAGGAAGGTGACAGCCAGGTGGTCAAGGTACCACTTACATCAAAAGCTCTCCGTTGAAGCGTCTGCACTTCCAGCAAGGGCTGACTAGTTACAGGCACAGCTACTAATACAGACATGGTGGCTGAGGCAGGTACTTGGAGAGACACGGGAGGCAAGTTTCTTCTTTGGGCCACAGAGCCAGAGAGGCGGTTCCATGCGTCCGATGCCTGCTGCCAAGGACCAAGCCCAGTGGTTCAGGCTATAGAGGTAAGTGGTGCATAGTGAGCAAATCGCGGCCATGCGTATGATGGTGGCAAAGCTCCCAGGCTGACAGCCCAGAAGACACATGAAATACAACTGTGTGTGATGGCTCAAAACGAAACCACAGGAAGTAGAAGTCCCAGCTGACAAACGGAATTTCTGTGCATAGATACATAGCCCTTAATTGGAAAGGGCAGTAGAAATTGTGGTAGGGGAAAATCTCTAGATAAGAAGTCTAGAGACCTCCAATTCTGGCTCTGACCCTTCCCGGCCATGTAGTGTGGGGCCAGACCCCCTCCCTGCTCTCTGACCTTAGCTTCCTGAAAAATAGTTTGTTCTGAGGTAATCACCAAATGTGATGATGGACGTCAGTGTGCTCTGGTAAATTAGAAACAGGCATACAGATGTAAAGTGTGATTGTCTTCTTGTTAATAAGCTGGGTCCATTGACTTTATAGAGGATGCTGTCTCCACAGTATGAACTAGGTCAAATGATAAAAACAAACAGAACAAAGACAGGAAGGAAACCCATCAAAATGTTGTAAGTGGTTATTTTTGTGAGGAAGGGGCTATTAGGAAGGGATTATGGTTGCTTTTATTCTCTGTGTTTTCCATTGTTTTTACAATAAGTATATATTTTAAATAAAAATGAAGAAAGTTGATATCTAAAAGAAAGGATACTTCTCAATAGCGAAGACTATCCCTTCCTTTTCTAGTATATGATTCAAAGAAAGAGGAGCTAAAAATATATATATGCCCTGAAAATAGGCAGCAATCTCCATAGTTTCTAGTACATTCTTTGGCTGCCAGGGGAATTATATTTGAGGAAAAATCTGACTCCTACTTTACCTGGACCTGAACCCATAGCTTAGAAATGGTGTACCTGAATCCATTGAACTATCTGGAGCTATTTCATTCCCCAGCATATGTGCACTGATTCTATTTAGAATCAGTTTTACTTATATCATATGTTATATTAATGTTATATTTCAGAAGACATGCTAGTCAATGTCCCATAGGAAGCTGTGTCTTAAAACAGAAATCAGGGGAGACGTCCAGTCATTTGAGCATTTTGCATATTCATGAAAAGGATACTGAATTTTATTCCATGGCCAACATTCTAAATTTTAGAGCAACTTCATAATCCTCAAATTATCTAGGTCAAGCCAGAGAAGGACAAGAATCTAGTGCTTGTCATGTTCTTATTTCATCCCTAGTTTCAGTACTTTGAGCTATTTTAAAACTCTGTCATCGACTCTCCTCTATGAACACAGTAGTGAAACCCACTATGTCTTGACCTAAACTGCTGATGTCGAAGAAGAAAGAGCTGTGGATGGAAAGGGTCGAGCCCAGGCTGTCTCCGCCCAGCAGCTTAATACTCTCTCAGTTCCATTGTTGGAGCAGAAGAAACCCACCAGATGATACTTTTGTCCTGCTCAGACCTCCTTATTCGTCCACAAGGGTACCTTTAGAACATATTGCCTGATGAAAGCAAGATGTACCCCAACCTCGAATCCCTTCTCCCTACACTTCTCTGTGTCTAAAACCCAAGACCCCCGGACACCCTCTTAGAGGACGGAACTTCCTCCCTAGTACATGGATGTAATCCATGGCATAGGGCTGGCCCCAGCTCTGCCACTTGGCTTTACTTCTAAGCTCACCCAATTACTTCTCCCTGGCTCCACAAGGGCAAGGGCATCATGGGGGACATCTTGTAGACCCCACCCTTAGACCTTTGACATTTTTCTTATACATGGTAGCTTCAGGAAGTATTTGCTCAAAGAATGATTTATCTGGTGAATATAAAACCAGCCAAAGGAACTTGTGATTACCAAGATTAATTTTTGTAATTAAATTTTTTCTATGATGCACCAGTATTACTTTTGTAACCAGCAAAATAGTAAAGATTTATAAATTCAAGAACATGCATTGTAAGCTCTAGACCTTCTCTGGTCCAAATTACTTCACATTTCAAAATCTGTGGACTTTAAGTTAATGTTCATAATCTCATTTAAGGTGGGACAAAAAAAAAATCAAGGCAAGACTCTCTCGTTCTTAGGTACGTCAGAGCTGGAAATAGTAACCTACCTACTGGTGGTAGTTAACGTGTGAGATAAAACTAAATAAAACTGCTTTGATTTTTCTATGTTGGGGATCCTGAAACAGATCAGTTGCTAAGGGAAATTGGCAGGAGGCTTGTTAAACAGTAAACAGCTCAGTTTAACTGTAAATTACTATTTAAAGTCATTATTTACAAGATAAGTCCTACATCAGATGGGAAGAATTGGGGATGACCTCTCTGGGGAAAGAAACCTATTTTAAAGACAAAGATAAAAACAGGTAACCATCCGGGAAGGCTGGGGAAGTCAGAATGGGGGTCAGTCTGTCTCCAGGCAAAGAAGGGTGGCTGCCTTTTTCTTCATGAAGAATTTTTCTAATTGTACTGTGAGGCAGGGCCAACTAGGAAAAGAAAGACAGGAACAGTAAAGATACAGGCATCAGAAAAAAAAAAAAAAGCAGAACCAAAATGTGTGAGTTAATTCTATAACTCAGGGCTTTCTGGACATGTGAATGGCACATTCATGATTCTTATAATATCTTTTACCACATGCATTATTATAGACTTACTGTGCTTCCTTCAATTGTCTCTCAGATGAATTGTTAAAAATAATTTAGTCTTGTCCTAAGGAATAATATAAAAACTGTGAAATCCATAAAAACCATGGCTCTGATATGCATACTTTTAACATGTAGATATAAATTCATATACCTTCTTAGTGTTCAGCTATCTACCTGCTAAAATGATTTCATGTCCCTACACAGAAATGAGTACCATGTTGGAAACATGGCGGTCATTGAGCCCAAAGTCCAGTGTGTGGGCAGTTCAGGAGAGATTTTTCTCTACAGCAGCATCTCTCAAAGTATAGTTCTTGGGCTGTGGGGTGGTTTGGAAATATGGTTGCTCCCAAGGAGAGGCAAGGACTATTCTCTGTTCTCTTGCATCTGGGAGGGCTTGTGACTGCTTCAACCAATAGAATGACACTAGGTGACTCTTGATGCTGGGTCATAAAGGGCCCTGAGGCTTCTGCTGTTCTCTGGATCTCACAGCCTCACATAAAAAGTTTGAGTCCCCCTGAGAGACACCAAGTGAAGGTGCTTATGTTGATAGATGCCTCCCTGCATCCTCACCAACGTGCCAGACATGCTGAGCCATATGGCGCATCACACCTCCATCGGCACCATACC